AAACGAATAATTAGTGCAAAAAAAACATTTTTTTTAGTGTTCATTTGCCCAAAAATGCTTAAAATACCAAAAATAGTCCAGGGCCTCCAATTTTTGAGCTACGCAGGATTTTTTTTCTCAAAATTTTCGGAAAAATATCTGGAATAATAATTACGAGATAGTTTTTTTTAAATTCGCCTCCTACATGGCTAAATTAGCTTTTTTTTGTATTTTTTTACAAAAATAGTGAATTTTTTTATATGAAAAAAACCGAAATCAACTATGTAGGAGTCGAATTCCAAAAAACTGGCTCGTAATTGTTGTTCCACACTTTGTCCGAACATTTTGAAAAAAAAAAAATTGTAGCTCAAAATTGGAGGCCCTGGACAGTTTTTAGCATTTTAAGCATTTTTGGGCAAACGAGCAATAAAAAATTTTTTTTTTGCAGTAATTATTCGTTTGCAGATCTATATAATCGATCTTCGACGTATGAAAAATCTCACTCCAATAACCCACGACTTTTAAAACTCATAGTAGTCTCCCCTTAAATGATAATAAAAAATGGAAATCGTATAGTATCTTGTACAGGGAATATCAAATGAAAATATTTTCCCCGCTGAGCGCAAGTTAAGTGTGAAATACGCAATTCTTGTAATTTTATTTCCCTACAGGCTCTGTGGTATTTTGTACGAAAATTGGATTGTATCTAGTACGGAGACTGGTTTGTAATTTATGTTTTCATTTTGACCAAAAAATACTCCTTTTTGAAGCCTAAATTCCGATTTTGATGACGAAAAAAAATACAGACATCATATCGGTGTTAGGCGTAAATTACGTTCAGCAAACCGTTAATTACATTTAGCAAAACGCAATTTACGTTTAGGTTTTTCTGTGTGTAGGTATCATTCGAAATTTTTCTTAATTATTAAAAATCACAAGCAATTCTAATAACAAATACTCTGCTTATAGATTTTCCCTGCGCTGAGGGGAACATAGGAGACGGCCTCTAGTTTCTCCCAACAGGTATATGAAATTGCCCTTTTGAATTTTTCCAATTCAGGCGCAGCTTGGAAAGGCCCACAAGGGTATTGATATAGCCACCTTTATTACACTGAGAAAAAGAAAAATTTTCTAGCAGCAAAGAAATTCTTGCCACGAACCTCCCTCTAAAGATCAAGGGAATCGAACTATTCTTGCGACAAAAATGGAGGTTCTTCCAAATAATTCATTCGAGTTTAGTGATGCGTGGGTAATAACTAGTCGTTAGGGGAGACAACGCCTGCACCGTTCAGCAACTAATACCGCTCACCTGACTTTTTCCATAACCACTAGCTCTCCCCACACTCTCTCTCACGCAATCTGAGAACTCTATTATTAGTATGTAATTCTCATGAAAATTTTAGGTTTCTCACCCCTTTAAATGACAAAAATAGCACCCCAGGATTTTTACGGCCTTACGATGTGATTTTTCTGGACCAGTACGTAAGGTTTTTCACTACGAGATCGGTCGCGTGCGCTACGCACGCATCTTGTCATCTCCTCACGTAGTGGCGCTTCGGTTTCAGTCTTACGGTGACAGCGATTCGAGAGTTGCGAGATATATCGAGATCGATTTCCTTTCTCCTTTTTACGATAGGATTATAATAGCATTACCATCACATCAAATTATGATCAATCGCTTTGTAATACTCTTTCATATTATTTGACACCGAAATTTACTTTCTCTCATCTTTTAATCAATAATTAGAGAATGTCTTCTCAAATTTGGACAATGTCGCCAATACCGCCCACACTGAGAAAAATCCCACGCTCGTCCAAGGGCGCGGGGCTTAATTCAAGGCATTGCAACCATAAAAGCATTTAAAGTCTCGCGACTTTGATTTAAAACAATTTCTAAAAAACAAGTTCTTGAATCAAAGTCGAGAGAATCTTCGTTCCAAAGGCCTACACTGTTAGAATTTTTTTGAAAATTAAGCAATACTTGCACCGAAATTCTCAATGTTGTGAATTTGAATTTAATTTAAGATCAAATCGTTCATGGAATCTCTCATTCAGGTTGGAAATTCAGGATATTTCGGTTTTTCACGTTACATTATCACTGAGGTTTCATTGACATATGGAATTTCCAAATTCATTGCGAAAATTGTATATCATATCCAACTGAATTTTCAGTGGATCGAAAATTCAGGAAAAATGTTGCATAAAATTTTAAAATTATTTAATAATTTTCATTATCATGTGGACCTGAAAATTGCAATTCCATTGAATACGCCAGAATTCGACTGATTTTTTAATAACAAAATACATGAAAATTTCGTGTGAATGGGTGATGTTGAACTAAACTCCGGTGACGGTGAATTAAGGCCGCGCTTTTTCGACGGCATAAACTACGACTCCAAAGGCCGAAAACAATTAATTGATGACGACACCCTTGATTCACCAGTGCGATTTTGAAACAAAGTCCACGCTTTTGAATTTTTTTCAAAGTCGAGCGCGCCTTTGAAATCGACGACGGATTTTCCTCAGCCAGTGTGATTAATATCGCTCGGTTTGAAACCAATACCGTTTAGTGTCTGACGGCTCACGTATGCAATCATTTATGGCCGAAAACAATCACGCAAGTACAACATAGTTCGTGATTCCTCTTAGGAAAATCTACTTTAAGAGATATTTTTGGATCATAAAAGAAGAATTTGGAAATGAGAATGGCTGTAATATTTTACAGAAGCCGTTAATACACTATTTGAGAGGTTAAGTGATTCGTTCAGATGGTTATTACAAATAAATATTTAAATCAGTAGCAAAGTGGTAAAACGGTTCAAGTCGACTTATCTCCCAGTTGAATTTTTGAGGAATATTTCCGAATCTAAGGGAGATATCGGAATTTTCGCAATTAAATTTGTTGTAGCTCTCAATTGGCTCCACAAAAAAAGTTATAACAAAAGTTTTACTATCTCCCTTAAATTCCGAGATATTCATTGAAAACTGGTCAATAGTCAAAATTCACTTATAACGTTACCACTTCGCTACTGAAATGCATAACTTGTTCTAAAAGGGAAGAAGATGGTCAACTCAAATAGAGCCATAGTATTTTTTTATTATTCCCTCAAAAAACATGGAACAATAATTGAAGTACCATTCTCACATTTTCACAATATCATTTTGTTCTTATGCGTTTCAATTTATGAAATAAAATCTGAATTCCATTCATTTCATGGGATCATCCAACATCGGGGATTATTTTATTTTCACAGCTATTGACTAGAGGTTATGTCCTGAGCCATATAGGGATCTATCCGCGCCGCTCACGCAGTTTCTATGCTCCTGTTTTGATAATTTATCGGAATTACAACAAGAATTGAGGATCCAAGACTTCTTGATATCTAGCTGAATCGGCAAAGAATATTTTGCGACTGTAATTTTTATTCGAAATCACAGTTTGGGATGCGAAAATTATCGTTATTCCTTAGGTGAGCGGTACAGGCGCCAGCTCCCCTACTTTTCATTCATTACTTCTAAAATCCGAAAGTAACGACTATGGATAGGACGAATATTCGGTATTTTTTTTAAATTTCTATCTGACCGTCCACCGTCCATTCCTAGCCCATTCGGCACTCTGGAACCACAAAACCGCTACACAAGTAACAACGTAATATGGTGATTACAAAATGATACTCTAAAAGGACAGCACCACGAAATCATTTTCTTTTCCATCTTGATTACAGGCAATCAATCATTTTTATGTCATTAGTGCCGATAAACTGCGATTCTAACCTCGTTTCGCTCCATCAGATCGCGGTTTTTGGGCCCAATGACACAAAATATTGTATTTCACACGGCAATAAAAGTATTATTTGACGAATGTGATTATAAAGTCACATTTATCAGATAATACTTTTATTGTCTGATGACATAACGCACTAGTAAATAAACATGATCTCCTTCAATTTAGTAGTAAATTTTACTGAAAAATAATAATCAAAATGTGTATTCCGAAAAAATATGTTTAACCCTGCCACTTTACTTCGTTTGATTCTTTTCGCTATTCAACTCGTATTTTTTATTTCACTCCCCGATAAAAAAAAGTAACGAGCAACGAGTATTAAGGAACGATTACTTTCTCATATTGTAACGACTACTTTCGGAAGGTAAAAATAGCGAGATTCCACATCTCTATTCGAGTTTGTCGTAATCAATGATCAAGGTTATAAAAATTCGTTCATTGATTGTAACAAACTCGAATGAGTTATTTGAAAACCTGTAAATTCTTGCCATAAGAATGCATAGTTTGCATCAATCAAACAATTTGCCTCAATCTTTCGTGCATCTAATCGAAAAATAGACAAGATTGTGCCAAGACTGGACTTGATCTTAGATTTTTTTTCTCTCAGTGTAGCGTCTGTCTAGGACATTTTGAGATAGCTCAGCTGTCTTGACAGTCCTGTACTTGGGTTATAATTCACATATTCCAGAATAATAGAATGGGATAACCAGGGAAAACTAATACCACAAACTATATAGTAATTGCCTATTTCAAAAAACAGGGGGTTAAAATAAAAAATAGAAAGAGAAAAAGGCTAAAGCAGTGAAATAAAAGGTTAATCCCTCGCTGAAATTGGCGTGATTCCCAAATTAATCCCACGAATGGGGAAACAGAATGGGCTGTACATACCGACACAAACGAAAGGGTGAAGAAACATTTTTGCGTTCAACGCTGTAATAATACAGCGGAGTGGAGAAATGGTGGCGAGGGAGAATTTTCAGAGCTTATAATCTTGGTAACCGGTCATCAGTGAATTTTCCGGGAATCCAAGGGTTCACGGAAAGCACATTTCGTGCTGTAAAATTCTACTTCCGAGCGGAGACGTCAGATGTAAGCTGTTAAGAAGGGAAGACTGAAAATTTCTCTATGAATTCCAGAAGTGGATATTAGAACGGTTGAGCTTGCTTCACGAAATGTTAGCTAAATAGAACTCCTGAAATAGTAAAATATGATATTGAATGGAGGGGTGGGGACTAACCTTTCTCGCAGAATTCACCCTCGTAGTCACCGGTGCGACATTCGCAGATTGGGCCAGTGTCCGTGGAGATGCAAATGCCACCGTGTTGGCATGGATCTCGTGTTTCACATGCATCCGTGGTATTTGATGCGATCATGTTACGTATGCTCTGCAACACGAAAGGTGAAACATGGGAAATTAGGAAACGTTGAATATCAATATTTGGTATTGCATATGAGGTAATGATATTACAATTCATGACAATTTGACCATCATTATTTTTTCAGTTCTATATCCCCGAAATTTTTTACTATCTGATGCAGGGAGAAAAAGGAGACGGCGAGAACCCGAGTGGAAATTCCGGTCGGGTCTTGATCAAGTTTGGATCAGGTTAGACCTGACCACTGATCAGGTATTGATCAAGTTGACGGATCCGGTCTTGATCAGACATGTTACGCCTCTGAACAATCCGAATTTGATCAGGACGAATGGATCCGAACTTGATCAAGTCAACTGTATGAAAACCGAATGACCTGTCTATGTCAATAACAATTATCAATGATAACTAATCCAAAACAAAAGATAATTCAATTCTTTCACCGTAAGCCGCCTCTCTTAATGAATCTCTACTGTTATTACCCTTGAAAAGGCTTATTATTTTTTTACCGATGCTGGGGATCGAACCGGGGACCCTATGATTGCTAATCCTGTGCCCTAACCACTACGCTATCACGCTATTACTATTGAGTAAACTGTACATTGCCTATATGATTTGTATCGGGGTATTCGTTGAATTTACGATTATTCCTGATCTCGCGGATGTGCGTGTGTATTCTCAGATATAAAATATGTTCAATTAAATTTTTATTCATTTAATCAATAAATAATAATAATGATAATAACAATAACTCTAATAAATAAATAGACATTTGGTGATTTTTTTTCTTAAGATCATTTGCGTGTAAATTTGATACTCCTCTAATACGTATTAAGTATTTACGACCCCGGGTAGAAATCACGCCGCTCGAGCTCGGCTCGGAACCCGTATCCCAGCTAGAAATACGCCACTCCGCCCCAACTTGGGATAAACTCCACGCGCGTCACATGTACCCGAGGTTGAGCCGCGTCACGCGCTCACAGCCCAGCGTTAGACTATTACGCGAAACGCTTCGCCGGGTTTTAGTTGAATGGCCACTGCTCAATCTCAGGTTCATCTCCAATTACTCAATCCCAGTATAATTAACCTCAATAATGATTTGACAGGTCCGATGGCATCGTGATTTGAGCGAAAAAACAATCGAATAAATGTGAAGATGGCATGCTTTTTCAGATGAAGAATCACAAGCTCATCAGAAATAACATGATATTAACTAATCGAATGGGATTAATCTGAAAATACAAGGTAGAACAATTCACTGAAACGTAGTCAAAACTTTCTTTTTTCTCGCGAATACAACAAACAAAATCAAGAAAAATAATGACTTGAAAAACGTTAACGTTGTTCTTCATTCAATAAAGTAAAATAAACGATCTAAAGTAGTAATGATTGAGAATTATTCTTTATTAATTGGAACAATCAAAAAAATCGAAAAAATTCAACTCTATTTCCCTATCTCATATAATTTCTCTATCTCATTTCCATATATCTCCGCACTGTGAGGAAGAAAGCCAAATTTTATGGGTTGTTATTTTGAAGCGAGTGATAGTATATTCGATGACAGAGGGAAAAATCAGTAAATTTCAAATTTTATAGAAAGTTCAGTGGAATTCCATTTTTTTTTATAGTAAGAAGACAAGGATTTTCCAAAGTATTCAAATTTTAAATCGATATTCTAAAAATGCATAATATCATTCTATTGCACCCTCCACTCGAAACGACACGACTCAATCGGAGCTGAGTTCTAAGCGTTGAGCCACAGCTCAAACTCAAGTGCCGGGTTATGACGTCTGATGAGCGTTCGACTGTGCGCCGGTATGGAGCGGCGTGTCGCGGCGAGAACTCGGGTCAAGCGGCAAGCCGAGGCTGAGTTCGCGCTCACCCGAGTTGCGGCTGAATCCCCGATTGAATTTCTACCCGGGACATCATCATCCCTCTCTTCTGTACATTTGAGAAGGGCTGGCTGTTAATTAAATTGATTAATTAAATTAAATTCATTAAATTAAATTAATTTAATTTATTTTAATTATAGTATAATGATTCTTTTTAAAGACTGAAAATAATGATTGATAATGGTTGATAAAACTTAATTTGAATAGTATAATAATAGTTAATTAAATTATCTGACAAACTTATTAAAATTAATGTCAGGTGGGCCGGATCTGAATCTGATCATTTTCTCTTCAATTAACCCCGTTCAAATTCCGATCAAAGACATTAAATCCGAATTTGATCAAATTGGTGTCAGGCAGCCGACCTCAGGGTGAGATCGTGCCTACCTCATCAGAACTTGATCTGAACCCGCCTGTAGTTTTTCGGATCCGATCTGTTGGATCAGAACTTGGTCAGGTTCTTATTAGGCATTATCTGATCATGTCTACCTGATCAGAACTTGATCCGAACCCGCCTGTAGTTTTTCGGATCCGATCTGCTGGATCAGAACTTGGTCAGGTTCTCATCAGGAATCACCGGATCAGTCGAACCTTACAAAAACCTGATCAAGTTCTGATCATGCTTCAGGTGGGCCTGAAGCAATTTTCACTCGGGAAGCTTGAGATCGGAGGATTTTCGAAGGTTTCTGGTGTTGGCAGGATAGTTCACGTTAAATTCAGTGTGGAAGTGGTAAACCGGTATGAGTCGATCTTGACTATTGGCCAGTTTTCAATAAATATCTCAGAATCTAAGGGAAATAGCTAAATTGTTGTAATTTCCTTTTTTGTAGCTCTCAATTTTCTCTACAAAAAGGTTATGACAAAAGTTTTGCTATTTCCCTTAGATTTTGAGATATTCATTGAAAACTGGCCAACAGTCAATATCGACTTATACCGGTTTACCACTTCACTACTGAATTCAAGTACTCGTGGGCAAAAAGACCAGCCTCGGCTAGCTATTGGTTGGATAACGTTGGGCCGATATTGGTTGTCCAGCGTCGGCGGATGATCGGCATCCGTGATCCACTCAATACTTATTTTTAATAGTTGAAAAAATCAATTGATACATTATTTTTTTATGATTTAATTTACATTCTTTGGCTGATCCTTCCTAAAGAAACCGATAACTGCTGATAATGATGACAAGTTGGACTCGTCGGAATTCGATGGACACTTCGATTTCTTCCTCAATTCTTCATCTTTCGAAAATATTATTCAATTTCTGAAACACTAGTCACGTTTGCGATTTCCAAATTGAAAAAAAATTACCTTGCTTGCGAATGGAAGGTCTCTTCAATTGTTCGCTACTGAATGGATGGAATTGAATCTTTTTTTTTCCAATGTAGGTATTACTGAGCTCTATCGATCCCCATTAATTAAAATTTAATTCATCGATTAATTTTTGTAATTTTTGAATTTTGTCGACAATCGGTTGTCCAAGGATAACTAAAAAAAAAGTTCGGAATTGATTGAATGATGGCTTAAAGTTTGTTTGGATGTCCCTTTGACCGAATTTGAAAATTAAGGCAATAGCAATAATCGTTATTTTGATTTATTCGAAAATTTTCAAAAATTTTGTATTTTTTTACACTCAGTATCATGCTTTGAATGAATTCAACCATAGTTTAAAATGTTTGTTGTAATGCACTGATAGACTGATTCATTTATTCCAAACGAGATTCGTTAACTATTAACGAATGGTAGAGTTGATTATGACCAAATGCATATTTATTGATAGTTAACGAATGGTTCACTTGAAAAGTGAAAATCGAGTCAAACAAGGCTCTTGAAATGTGCATTTGTTAACTATTAACGAATGAACATTTGGTGAGACCGAATAGACCCTCGTCGCTAAACAAAGCCATCCGTTAACAATAACTAATCCTCTCTATCAGTGTGCCATTAAGTCGAAGTTGAAAGATTATTACGATAGCTATAAGGTTGATTTGATTTTTATGATGATTGTTGAAAATTTTGGATTTTTCATGAATTTTCCTGAAAGTGTTAAACTCACTCAAGTATGTATAAATAGAATTTGTTTATCAACATTTCATCGAAAGATTGAGGGGAGAGATAGAACTGTAAAAAAGACAATCGGTTGTATAGAAGAAAAGGGATAATAAGAATAATGAGGCTGATAACATTCAACTAAGTTCAAAATCTGACAAAATTAGGTAAACGAAAATCTTATTCAATTTAACAGAATGAAATAAACAATAAATTATATATGATAGAAAGAAATGATGGGCAAAATACCCGTTGGAAAGCATATTGCTAATTTATTAGCAAAAGTGACTATACTGTATGCAATACAAGAGCAATTTCTCACTTGTTTAAAATTCATGAAAATTTTTTGAGCGTCCATTTTACCCCAGATGTCTATATTGCCCCACCCTTCCCTTTATTTGTTTCTCGCATAGGAGATGGTTATTTCAATTCAAGGATATATTCATTCGTATCAAGCCCGGTAGTACCAAGCCCTGTTAAGTTTAATGTAAAGGTCGAGCAATAAGTGTCAGAAGATAAGGATAACAAAATAAGAGTCAAAAAATAAAAGTCAAGCAATGAGGGTCAGAATATAAAAAAAATGTGAGTATTTGAAAATAAGGGTCAATAAATGAGGCAGAAAAAATGCCTGAATCTGGTATATTTTATACTCAATTCCTGATTATGCATATACCTGATTCTGGTATAAAGTAGATATTTTTTCCGTATAGCTGCAACGTCAAGCATTAAAAATTTTTCATTGCACACTCTTGTGTATAATGAAAGGAATTGAATAGAAAATTACGGTGTGAATGTTGAGGTAACGCACGACATTTTGTCGTTCAGGGGTGAAAAATAAACGTACATTAAAAATTGACGTGCGAAGTAAAGAGAATTTTTTCTTGAACATGACGAAATTATGGCGTCGCATATGACAAAATTTCACACAGAGTGTAAAATTCCTTCTTGCACGTCTATTATCCTCTTCAGAAAACTGGGGAAGAGTCACGGTTCGACTTACACAGAAGGCTGTTTCCCACACTTTTTATGTCATCCAATGTTTTTGTGACGACTAGAGATGTACGCGCGCTATGC